TAAGAAATAAATGAAGACAATCTGTTGGGTTTTAATCACCTGCCTTCTTCTACTTCTAAATATACCAAATGCAAACTGGAAGGAGATCAAATCTAGTTGTCATTGTTCGTTGGATGATGACATTGATCAGTTTTGACCTTTATGTTAATATTGTATCTACAATCCTCTATTTTGTGCCTTTTTTTTTTCTTTTTTTAAAGGGCTCATCTGTTATATGCTTTTTTTTTTTTAGTTAGTTTCTTTCTTTCAATTATTTTTTCACTTTCTGTATATTGCACCCTATGTTTGTCAAGTGCTGGCCAGAATTTTTTGTGTCTCTAAGCCCCAAAAGGGCTTTTTGCTTTAATGCACCTTCCAGCTTTTAAAACACTGCCCTTCCTGTGATGTGTCAGATTGTTATTGTAGTTGTCAACCTACCATGACCTTCCTCTTTTAGCTGGGCTTGATATCAGCTATGTAATATAGTGGAATACTTAATTTAATTATAGGCAGAGTTAGTCTTAGGTTCAAATTGGTTCTTCCATAGGTAGGCCATGGTTTGGAAGATATTTGTTGAAGATTTAGTATGGTCTTTGCACATTCCTGATGAAGCAAACTTCTAATAAAGTTCCAATGTTTGTGCCTCCTGATATTGAAGTTCACCATAAAAATAACTCCTGCAGTTTTCTTCCATTGGTGTTTGTATGTGTGTGTGGAGAGGGAGATGACTGAATTTTCTGAACATTGTTAATACGTAATTGGCCTTCTTAAAATGCTTGAACAATCTAGGGTCTGTCCAGAAGGGCAGCTTTTCCCAGGACCCAGGTGCAATGTTAGCCATATTAGTTGAAAATGATTTGTGCATGTCATGGGATCTAATCTTTCTACATTGAGAGAATGTTTATTAATTTTCCCAAGCTTTCACTTCTGAGGACTGATGTGTTCTGAGCTGGTTTGGATGGAAAAGTTGCTGGTTTAAATTTGATTGGATTTTGTGCAAACACATCATTACCCTGCTTTGTTTTCTTTGTCTTTCACATTCTTAATATTGCGATACCATTTTAATGCATCCTCCTATTGAACTTTTCAAATATGTGTTAGAAAATTACTAGTGTAATGTATTATTTTCTTTTTAGATCAACTAAGAAAAGATATTTTTTTTACTAATATAATGTATTATATATGCAGAATACAGACATTGAGGCGGCATCGTCCATCTTCTGGAGATGATGAGCTAAGTAACGATGCTGTAGAGTTTGAGGACAGGACTTATACTGCTGCAAGTAGCCAGGTAATAGGGAATTGTACGTTTTTCATATTGTACAAGGGTTGAGAGTCTCTGATTTTTTTGCAGTATGTGTGCATATTTACTGGCCATTATGTCCATTGCTTCTGTTCTTCCTTTATTTTTTTATAGTTCCTATTTTCCTAACTCAATCTTTTGTCCAATCGCCTAAAGAATTCCAAAGTGTAAAGAAATTATAGATAAACGAAGAAAGTGAAATTGATATCATTTACACATTCTTTTAACTTGCTCTCTTTTCTGAAGACGTAAAACTCATTTGATCTGAAGTTTTTGTTGACCTCTATTTGACGTCGGACTATCTGAGGAGAATATCCTCGAGGATGCTTAGTTTGGAGACAAGAACTCAGAGCAATCCTACTGATCCAGGTAATAGCATGACACAGCATTTTATTTGTAGCATGCAGATATAAAACATCTCAGAAAGTTTATGCAGCATCATAGTCCCTCGTATCACTTTATGTGTGTTCGTTACCTTTTGACATGGAAATGCATTTCATTCTTTGAAGAAATTCAGACCTAGTAATGTTTGTTAAACGGCCCAGGCCCAAACCATTAATAAAAAAGATTTTTCCTGATAAAAATAGAGGCCCAAAATCCAGTTTAGGCTAAAAAAGTGAGAAATAAAAAGAAGAAGAAGAAGAAGAAGAAGAAGAAGAGAGTTAAATACTAGGAATGAAAAATGCATACTTGTCAAGTATTAGATCTACCATTGGATATGAGGGTTCATTCATACATGACCTCTACACCTGACCAATTTACTTGACCTCGTATACCTAACCCATACTTAAATATATATGAAAGAATATACCTTTTTAAATTCACCATTTAGCAATTTTTTTGCAAAGTGTATAAATTACTTGTTGTATTAGTAATTTTTTTTCTTGTGTCTAAATATTAAAATAGGTTCTGCTTCTACCTCACAAGAGCAAGGAGATTCGGAATCTTGATTGTAGACACAATTAGCAATATGTGAGTGTACTTTTGAATCTTAAATTGAATTGTTTCATTAATTATGTAGATATCATTACAATTTACACAAAAGATGCTTAACTACACTAGAGTTTTGCAATCTAATGATCATATTATAGTTCTATGCTTAACTTTGCAATATAATGTCATAAAACTCGAATGTTTATGTTTTGTTTTTAACCTTCATGCAGGGAAGATTCTCGTGAAAGAAGATTCTAAGGATTTGTGTTATTATGTATTTTGTTATATGCATAAACTTCTGTATAAACTTGCATATTTTATTTTGTGTATGAACTTGTATGAACTTTTACTTGTAATCCCACTTATGTATTTTATTATTAAGTATGAACTTATGTATTTCTTAATGTATATGTACTATGAAGTAAAGTGTGTGTTTTGTAATAGGTTTAATAATGTTTTTTTGTATAAAATTCATTGATCTTATTGATAACTAAGAATGTACATTAATTCCATCTATAAAAAATGCCTTAGCTAGGAATTAGCTATCTATAACAATAACATGTAGATATATGCGCTATTCGAATAAGTTAATTAATTATTGAAAAGTCTTCAATGTTAGTAAATATTATAGAGATATTGACCAACTAAAATAAAAGAGTTAACCCTATTTGAGCATTCATAAGCTTTTGGGTAACTGAACCTATAACGTTGAAAAGCAAGTTAGGGGATAGCAAGAAAAGGTGCTACAACAGTCCCTTGTAGCATCATCATATCAGAGTTCAACCTATCCATCAGAACCTCCAAATTTTCAGTGCCTCTTCCTTTCTCCTCTTGTGCAGCTGTATGTTGTCCTTAGATAAAGCATGCGGACGGTAAGTCACTTGCAAAGGGGAAACCAATCTCATCACTTGAACCTGCCTTCTCTTCCCACAGTCAAGAACAGCATGATATGTGGGAGAGTCTGGACCTGACATGGGACTTGGATGTTGACTTGGAAGCTACATAAAAATAGTATATGTCTTACAAACACTACATATCGAGCAGGTCTATTTTCGCTGCAATAAGTCTAACAACATGTGCAGCCAATCATCTTGAATTAGGCTATGAACATATGTTTGATATGTAGTGGTATCGAATCGCATCGAAAAGAGTACCCCTACGAGATATTAAGCTTAAATTAAAGTTGAGACAGGCTGATAAAAAAAA